CTATAAGTGTATTTAATTTAGCTATGTTAGTTATGATAGTTTAGTTATAACGTAAATACAGTAAAAATTAAACCAAGATTTAGAATTATCATTTTGATCCATACATTGGTAATGTCTGACTGGGCCTCGTGACACTTTATGTTTAACACATTGGGCCCCGAGGTCAAAAAGGTGGCCCCTGCACTAAAGCACTAAAGCACTAAGGAGGCTAATTTCCTGATTAATGCTTTAGGGCTTTTGGTAATTTTAAAATTTATTARTGGATTAGCACTTGCTAAATTTAGAAGCTAAATTTAGAAGCACTATCTGAGGTCTATAAATATTATTGATCAACGTTAACAGCTGAGGGTGAAGCTGACACATGTTCACGTGTGTCACTGATCCACCAGGTGACATAYTGACAATATATGAACCAAATACAGCTGTGGAATGTCAATGATAAGTCTTAAGAGAACAACATGACAACATGTGACTCATGTCTGTTGAAGAATGTTCATGGGTTGACTGGGTTATTTTAGTGCTTTAAAATTAACTTTTGCGAAAACTTTCAGTGTGTYAGTGCTTTAGAATTAAGAGACCTATTTAAGTTAGTGTTTGTTATGGAACTAATTTTTAGATTAGTGCTGCCCACCACTGCAGGATAGTGACCCTTGAGGACTAGAATGAAGGACTACTGTTTACATGTCAAAATCACAMAAAGTTGTTACCTTGTGCATGTGTCATAAAACCAAAATGAATGAAAACATGTTTTTTACTTAAATAAACAGGAAGTGACTGAGATGAAGAGACTGGTGTTCTCCTTGGATGGATRAGATTGGGTTAGGGTTAGATAAAGTTAGATAAACAGAATAAAGTTAGAGAGACCAGACATGGTTTGGATAGGCTAGTATGTTCAGCTCAATATGTTTTTATCAAGATTTGAGATAATTACGTGGTCACATGAACACATGGACTATTACTTACAAAAAAGACTTGAWAGGACTTGAAATTCCAATTTTCAAACTTGGGCCTTGACTGTTGCCTGTCTTGACTTGAGACTTGACGACTTGACTGTCTTTGCTTGAGACTTGACTCAGGACTTGAGGATAAAGACTCGAGACTTACTTGAGACTTGCAAAACACTGACTTGGTCCCACCTCTGATGTGCAGAGGATGGGCAGTGGATATGTTGGTAGAACGTCCGCATAGCGGTAACATAAAGATGTAATGACCCCACCCCGCATGCACAAATGCACCAGAACTCAGAAGTCTTTATTCCTAATAGATGTCAGAATTGTAGTGCTTGGGTGGCAGTCTTTTTTTTTTT